TAGAATAACAGAATAACAGATTGACCATCAACTATGACTAGATACATTCTACCCTACGAACAGAGTGGGACCACAGCTGTGGGAACCACATCAGTGTTCTCTACAAAGAGCAAAAGCCCAGCCCGGCCTGGCCCATGAACAGGTCTAGTGATGTGTGGCCAAGAAGAAGAGGACAACAGCCAGTTGTTCATTCATTGCCCTGTTTCTGCAGAAATTTGGGGGCACTACCTCTCCTCTGTGGGTTTATCATGGGTTATACCAAAGACTGTGATGGATCTGCTAAGGTGTTGGGAGCTCCAGGCCCTGTCAAGACTGGCAAAAAGTGTTTGGATGTCAGTTCCTGAAGCAGTAATAAGTACCATCTGGGTGGAGAGGAATAGAAAATTTTCCAAAACTGCTCCAAGGATGTAAACTGTCTAATTTCTAGTCCTGTAGGCAAGCTAATCTCTTGAAAAGAAGCTGCTAAAGGTCTTCAAAGCAGGGTGCTTGGAGCTCATCCGGGGTCTAGAAGTTTGTTTGAGTTGTAATTCAATGTAGGGTCTTTGGACCCGGTTGTTGCTCCATGAGTGGGGCCCCTCTGTAATCTCTTGTTCCTTCTAATAAAATCACCTTACCCTTTTACAAAAAAAAAAAAAAAGAAGATTTATAACCAATCGTATATATTTATAATTTGAGATTTGGCTTTTAATGTAATTTAAACTTAGTTTATGTGTTTGAATGATAGATTATGTATTAATTATGTTTTATTATTTTAATAATTGATTGTGGATTGTATTCTATTTGCACTGAAATTGCATTTAACTAAATTGTGGAATACATGTGAAGTTGGACTTTGGATTAGTAATGACTATGTGATATTATTTAGGTTGTTTATGATTATGTTTTATTTTCTTTGAAATTGAATGAAATGTGGAATGTTTATGATAAGTTGTTATCCAAGGTCAAAGCTTTGAAAGGGAAAAACAACATATTATTTTTTTTAAGGAACAGGTTCTGTGGGTAAACCTGGAAACTGACCTTGGAACTGCCAAGGCCAGAACCAAGCTTGAAACCAATTTTGACAGGGTAGGTCCTGATTCCAGAAACCTGGAACCGACCCCTACAGCATAGGTTCCAGGTTCTGCCTTGAAACCGAACCAACCCAAGCTCACCCCTATCACAGAGACATTACAAGAGGAAAGAAAGAGGATTAACGCCACAAACACATTACACAAGGAAATGATCACAGAGACATTACAAATGTAAGACAGTAAGAGTAATAGAGAAACAATGAAAAGCAAGGATCCAGACTAAAGAAGAACAACAGCAGAGTCAACAGACATTTTCTTCCAAAGATTTAAGCCTTCTATAATATTCCAACATCTATCAAGTTAGGCATGAAGCTCCTTGATTTAACATAAAGAGTGAGGTAATACCAAAGTTAAGAATCCAAAAGCAAAAAATGAAGAAAATACTATATAAAACGGAAGAAAAAAAAAAGAAAGAAACAAATTTGCACAACTACTTTTTCTATCATCCATCATAAGGAACATAAATCTCAAAGTGATTATGCATACAAAACACAAACAACAGAACAGGACAATTTTAATAAAGGGTAACTGTATTGATTGTATTGGATATACGTGGAGAAAAAGTAAGAACATGAGAGTATGTAGGCAAATACACAAATATGGACAGGTAGCTCTTCTCCATTACAAAAGAAAAACTATTCTGATATGGATTTCTCACTTAAATAACAAAAAAAAAAAAAGAAAATCCCTCCCTATTCCAAATCTAACAAGGCCATCAGATCAAGATCTTTTTTCCATTGGTATCAATTTGATTTGACAAATTATAGACGATGAGATCTCCCTGATCTTATTGAGGTAGTGTGCCAACCAGCAAGGGCCATTCCCAGCTTGTTGACACCATCTGATAGTATCTGATACCATCAACGGGGCATGATATTGTACTATGATATGCAATACATAAAATAAATGAATATGGAAGAAAAAGAAGCGGATGGGTCAATCACTTTCTTGCTCAACTGCATATCATGTGGATCTCAAAGTAATTATGTATGAAGCCCTAAATAAAACACAAAAGGAAACAGGTGGAAGTTGATTTACTAGTAAAGCTGAACTCACATTGAAAAAATCTTCCCGGGGTTCCACCATTGCCCTGTATTAAAAATTAAAACATCCGAATTGATCCACTGTTTATTGATATCATCCAACTTGTCCAGCCTCAATGTCGACTTAACCCTCTTTGGTGCATTTTTAGGCACCCAGCCACTCTGCACCAGGAAAACTGAACGGTAAAACTCAATAGTGAAATTAAAGGAACTGAACCTTACACCCAAAAACCGAATCTGCTTCGTGATTTTCTGCCCATTAACTTCATAAACGCTCTTCTTATCCTCCACCCCAGTCATCAGTAAACATATCAAAGATTCCCACTGTGTTCTACTCATGGAATCGCCAACCAAAACAACCCGTTTTCCCCGGAGCTTCTCCAGAACCACATGTACATTAAACCTTGGGATATCACAATTCTTGGGCTTCCACCTCCACTTGAGATAATCTCTATCTTTCCTCCCATTAGCCAAGCAATTGAACCCTCGTTCTACAAAAGGACATTGTGAGCTATTATACAGTGGATAACTATAATCCTGGACCCAGCTTCCATGGAAAACATTGCAAGTCTCAGTCGAACTGTTGGATTTGGAAATCCCGGATCCATGAATCGCCTGACTGAAACTGGGGAAAACATACAGATATCCGCAACCCATTGCTAAAAGGAATGAAACCAACGAACCAATCACAAGAAGACCATGGAACGATCGCGAGACCCAGCTCTTACAGTGGCTAGCAGCTCCTGAGCTGTTAAAACTCAAAGACCTCAGGGTCAAATGGTCGGACATACTCCGATTGAAACTAGTGACCATCTCAAACATCCTGGTACTGTGAGACAGTAACATCAGTCTAGTGTCCTATACAAATTATCGAAGTGCGTTTCCACAAAAACGCATCCAGTGATACAATCTCTCAAATCCATAAATTGCGAACCCATGAGTATCTACTAAACATCATTGCCAAATCAACTCGGTTGGAACCAAAATGGGCACAGAACGCTGTAAAACTATAAACTTCCGAAGCATTAAAACCCCATTTTTGCTCAAAGATCAATATCTACAGAAACCACATCCTCAAAACAAAACTCTCCGTTCTACCCGAAACACCTGCACGCCAACCGCCGATGACAAACGGTTTTCTTGACAACCATAGAGTCTTCTTGAGTATCTCAGAATTGAATCCAAACAAAGAGCAAAAATGGTAAAAGAATATACCAAGAAAATCAAATCTAGTGAAATTTGATCAAGAAGACAGAACTAACCCAGGTACCTGCATTCAACAATGACGACGACAGTAACTAAACTGCAATGACTGGTGAAGTTTTGCAAAGACAAACCCCCAGAGCAGGAAATGATGTTTTGCAGCTACACACGGCTTTGAAATGGCAAAGATCGGAGTTTGGTTGGTGGAGCTGGAGACCACCGGAGAGTGGCAATTACCAATTAGCAAAAGCCGACGAGAGAGAAAGAGAAGGGTGTTCCAGTCAATTTCCACAAAGGGCACAACAACGAATATAAAATTGCGGGAAAACAAACAAATTTTTGTTGGCTTGGACGATCGGATCGGAACATGGAGTGTGCGAACACAGATGCTTGTCGGTTGGAAGCTTGTTTGGAACTTTGCCTCCAAAATAGAGCGCTTAACTAACTAATTTAATGTTAGGTTCATCGTAGCCGTACAATTTTAATCAGATTTAATGGATGGATGTGGTTGCACATGACTGGTGAGGTGGGCCACCACTGAAAAGGTAGGGGCCCACCTAATGATCTCGAGAAGAGTCTGTGGGCCATGGAATCCAGGCCATGATGCAGGCAATGATCGACAATTTGTAGATCGATTAATGCATTATTGTGAACCTGGACCGGATGTCAAACCGTGTGACTGGTGGTTTGATAATTTTTTCTTTAAAACGTTAAAACTCCGAAAATAAAGATAATTAAAAAGGAAATTTATTAAGGTTAGATTATGATACTGGAATCTTTTTCTAGACGCCCACGGCAAATTTATTCATTAACAAATTCAATTTACATCTCTTACAGTATTATCGAGGAGAAAATCATGCACTTACAGACTAAGTTTTAATTCTTGTACAAGTAGTAGTAAATTTATGTCATGTTTGGGAGTGCTTAAAATTAAGTGTTTATTTGGGCTATTAAACACTATTGGGATTTGGGAAATAACCTGAAATGAAATAAGTGTTTATTTTAGAAATAAGGGTTTATTTTTTAATTTTAAAACTTTTATATGAAAATACTTTTGTGAAAGCACTTTTGTAAAAGTACTTTTATGAAAGCATTTTTATGAAAGTACTTTTACAAAAATACTTTTATAAAAGCACTTTTATGAAATCTTTACAAAAGCACTTTACAAAAACACTTATAAAAATATTTTCGTGAAAGTACTTTTATAAAAGCACTTTTACAAAAGTGTTTTTATAAAAACACTTTTACAAAATCACTGCTATAAAAATATTTTTACAAAAGTACTTATATCAAAGTACTTTTGTGAAAACAATTTTATAAAAATACTTTTATATAAAAGCACTTCTATCAAAGTATTTTTATTCATTCACTTTGGATTGGGTTATTAGATGCTATGAGTTCTGAAAGTTGTGAGATAAATGCTGATAGGGAAATGGTTTAGAGAGTGAAGGGAAAGAATTGGGTGAATGAGGAATGAGAATTAAAATAAACAGATTACCATATGCAGGCATGCATGGCTCTGAGTTCAAATCAGCCCCCCACAGTCCACAGCACATTTCCGCCATGTATTAGGAACATCTCCTAATGATAATACCAGGAATGATGATGTCATCATTGGGAGATGTTCCCAATACATGGCGGGGATGTGTTGTGGGAGGCTGATTCAATCTCCATGGCTCTCTGATATTTCCAGGATATTCTTGAGCATTGTTCATTAAGGCTATAGATCCCAACCCTTCGGCTAAAAACACATGTAGAGAGAGAATAACATATATTGTTCTACACATGCCTCAAAGTGGGTAAGGATGCATGTAAGGCTCCATTCTTTTGGGGTAAATTTGGGGGAGGGGAGTTGATCAATGGAAAAGTTGATCAATTTTTTCATGTTATTTTTAGTAGTGAAGTATCGGTTCCATAGAAAGAAAACTTTCCCCTGGGTAAATGTTTGTAACTTGAGAAAGATTTATCCACTTGAGAAGTGGGTAAGTTATTTGCCTATTGGGGGGGTGTAATTGGCCAAACTGTGTAGAATTAAAATGTCCCTACCAAAACAACAAGGTTTTTAAAATCGAATCAGACAACAAACCAGTTAGGGGTCTGGTTTTTGGATCGGACGGTTCAAACGCCCAAATCAGCAGTTTGTTAACCAAATCAATGGTTTTTGGCAAAATAACGGTTCTGGGGTAAAACGAAATTGGTCACCTGACTTAACCAGTTCCTTGTTTTTCCGGTTCGGTCTGATTTTGAAAACCATGCAAAACAAAAAAAAAAATAGGGATCCTTAAAGAAAATTTCCCACTTACCCATATGGCAAAAGAACATGGGTAAATGTACTTACCTGAATAACATTTTTCCACGTAACACCTACCCTAGTAAATATGTTTACCCATGTAAGTAATTTACCGCCAAATGAATGGGGCCTAAAGAGAACCCATATTTCCTACTCACTTTTCCTACCCACTCTCCACCCGCCATGAATTGCAGCTACACATCTCTCAATCACGGTGGGTAGAGAGTGGATAGGAAAAGTGAGTAGAAAATCTCGTTTGACCTAGAGAGGGGATTTAGCAATAACTCACGTGGCTTTTCTAGCCTCTTTTACGATCCTATCATGTGGCACAATCTGATCCTACATACCAGTCATGCATAAACTCTAAAGTGCCATAGGAGAGATTCACCACAAGCTTCAATGAACCTTTCATGGGGACTTGCTACTCATTTAGGCAATTCTTCCTTCAAGATTTGTTGTCTCATTGCTTTACGTGATACTATGAGTATCAGAGCTCAAACATTTGTGATTTTTTATACACCCAAATATTTGAGATTTGCAATAGCTAGCTAGCATATATTAGAGCGGCGTAGACGCGTAGTGACATACTTATTTATCCTATTGCATGGGTCCCTTGCATTTTAGTATGGTCTTTAGGTTCAGTTTGGAAGGAGTACAAATATAAATATATATAGTATAAATACATATAAAATAATATAAAATATATGGTTTTACACTTTACCACCTTTACTTAAAACTATAAAATCATAGCCCCTAATGTATTGAGATCAAATCAGGCCCTCACAAGATTGCCCCTTATAATGTCCCATAGCACATCCCCACCATGTATTGAGAATATCTTCTGATGATGACATCATCATTTCTGGTATTATTATCGGAAGATGTTCACAATACACAGCAGGAATGTACTGTAGAACATTGTGGGGGCCATCTTGTGGGGGACTGATTTGAACTCCAACATATTATTATGGCCAGTCAATAACCCCACCTTAAATTAGAAGATCGGCTTCAGTGGGTGCAACTCCCATTTGAACAGCCTTTTCAGCCTTACACTGGAAATATCTCTATACCTATGCACCTTATTTCATAGGAGATATTCACAATGCAAGCCCCTAAAGACTGTTCGAACGGACCTTGCACTGACCGAAGCAGAGTTCTTAAATTAGATAAAATCGTATCATGTTGGGGCGATAACAATACTTTAAAGTAGGGGGCGAATCGAGAATTGTGTCAAGAATTGAGCTACTCGAGCTTGACTTTACTAAATGGTTCAGAGCAAAAAACTCAATTCAAGCTCAATTGAGTTTCGAGTTTCCTACTCAAAATGAACTTGAGTCAATTATAAATAAACTAATATTAAAATATTAGAAATACACATATAATAGAAAACTCATTTATAAATTTGTTTATTTATATTATAAACAAATTAATATAAAAAATACTATTTATTTATACTATAAAGAAAAATATACTGAAAAATTAATATTCTGTTATATACTTGATCAAGCTCATGAATTGCTTAAATTGATTATTACAAAGCTCAAACTTGATTCAACTAACTACTTAACTTGCTCAAATTAACTCAACTCAAACTCGGTTATCTGCAAATTGAGTTCATGTATTTAATGAACCAAGTTGAAATAGCTCACAAGTAGATTTCGCTTACTTACACCTCTACTTTGAAGGCCATCATTTAAAACCATGTGATAGCAAAAGTGAATTCCTTATAATAGACCATTCCACCTAAACAAGAGAAAAAAGGGAACAAAAGGGAATGGTTGTCATTTAACAAATCCAATCAAAAGGATTTTTCCCGTTATCGGATTGGCTGCCCACTGGGTGTGCCCCACAGCTCATCCCCTCCGTGCACTGGGAATATCTCCCGTGCTTGTCATCGGGAGATATTCCCAATGCATGGATGGGGTGGTCTGTGGGATACACACTGTGGAGAGTTTACATCTCCACCCCACAGTACATCCTTGCCGTGTATTGAGAATATCTCCCGATGATGATACCAGTTTCGATGATATCATCATCGGGAGATGTTCCCAATACATGACGAAAAGATGCTGTGGGGCGAAGATGTGATCTCTTGTGTGGACAGCTGATCGGCCTGTCCCAATTTTCTCCCATGGGTCAGTTGGGAAGAATATAAATATGTATAAATATACAATGCATGCAAAATACACAGATTTGCACTCTATATACTCCTTCCAAAATGAGCTTATGGTGGACCAGATTTGTATATTTTATACAGCATTGACCAAACATGAAGTTGGTAAGGTAGGCAATGACAAACTTGCTTTAGTTCTTCTTCCTTTTTTTTCTTCTTAAATATGATTATCATTATCCTAATAATGTATAGACCCTAGGAGTTGGTTGGTGGGACATGAACATATATGATGCAGAAAGTTTACAGTAACTAGAAAACCTATGCTTTTAAAATGATAACGATGGTTTACTTGTTATGTGTTTATAATTTATTGATTAATGGTTGTAATCCATGATTTCATATAAATGTGATTAACAGTTTCTGGTTAAGACTTTTGACTAATGAAATGTTGATTGTTTTTTATTTTTTTAACTGAAATGCTGATTGTTGTGACTTGTGAACATAGACGGGGTGTATCGAACCATCAAACTGGTAGTTCATTCCTTAGGCTCAGTTTGGAAGGAGTACAAATATAAATATATACAATGTAAATATAAATAAAATAATTTAAAATGTAAGAGTACAAATGCATATTGGGAATTGGGAACTCAGATAAAAACCCGAATTTGAGAACCGAACAAACTAGGTACGTTATGGTCCAAACTCCAAACCATGGAATGATGGAAATAAATTAACAAATAGGAATTGATTTAAAATAAATGCTTTTTTTTTCTGATCAAAATTATTAAGGAGTGTTCCTTCTTTTTAAGAAATAAAAAGAAAGAAAAACGCCTTAAACAGATAAAAGTCTTTTTTCTACATAAATAAATAATAAAAAGAAAGAAAAACACTCTTTTTTCTACATAAATAATAAAAAAAGTCCTTGTAAGAAAGGCCTTGCCCCCAGCAAAACAGACTTAAAAGGTTCCATGGTTGTCCACATTACCCTCTATGTGATAAGTTTAACCTAATAGTTTACTCTTTCACAAGGTCCTTCACTCGGCAGAAAGAGTGGTAACCCAGTAAGTACGCTAGTATTGGGTAGGGGTGCTCGTAGGTCAGGCTGGGCTTTGCACTTATGATAAGGGCTATAATTTAGGCCCGGGCTCGGTCTAGCCTGGGGTTCTAGGCCTGAAACATAAGTCCTAGCCCAGGTCTATACGGGTCTGATTCTGGGCCAATGTCTTTTACATATATAAAACATTATATTATGATAAGGGCTATAATTTAGGCCCGGGCTCGGTCTACCCTGGGGTTCTAGGCCTGAAACATAAGTCCTAGCTCAGGTCTACACGGGTCTGATTCTGGGCCAATGTCTTTTACATATATAAAACATAATAATCTATAATATTTTATGTTAATGACATAACATGCATATAAACTTATTTTATACATTATATAATATAAAATATTACATATAATGTAAATTATGCATGTCATGTTATAATATTTGTATATAAAATATATAATATAATGTAAAATAACTTGTATACATTATACACAAAATGTGTAAGTTTAAATATATGCAGGCCGAACCAGGCTTGACGTATTAAGCCCAAGCCCAGCCCTAAAATTTGTGGGCCTGATGTGTGCCCGGGCCCAGGCTGGGCTTGAACACAAAACCCAAGCCCAAGCCTGGAATTTCCGGGCCGGGGCAGGCTGACATGATCACCCCTAGTCATGGGTAAACCTTGAACACCCTTTGCTGTTTTTCGCTTTGTTGATTAAAAAATAGAAGAAAATCACAATATTTCATGTCTTAAGTATTGTTCTTTAGGACAAACAGATATTTGACTTAAATAACTTTCGGTAAGTTTAATATCAATGATTCCCTTGTTCTAGAAATAGTAGTTCTCTTTCACAAAGTGAAAGATCATGTGTCTAAACATATGACATGTAGGATCTAAGGGTTTCTAAACTTGGTCGTGGGACCTCAAGTGTATGATCCTATCTTACTTCAATTCCTTGTCCTATAATCAAGTTAGACATTGTTTCTTGTTCTTTACGACTTCACCTTTTTTTCATTAATTTTTGAGTGTAAGTTTCATCTATAAATAGAAAATTGAGAATTGGGAGAAGCCATATTTTGTCAATTGGAAGCAATTCTTCCCTCTTATGGAAAACTTTAATTTTTCCAAGAAACCTAAATTTTATATCGCTACTTTTGACAATATTACCTGATAACAGTTTCATTTTAGCCAATGATTTAATTCCTCAAGGAAATAAATATAAGTGGGTTTACTGCTTGGTTGCAACAGGGCTTGGTTCAAGTTAATTATGTTGTAATTACAAATTCTGTTATTGAAGTATGTCTCTAAATTTCCAAAATGCATAATTTGGCTTTGAGAGGAGGAAATAAAATGCTACAGAACTACATAAACATATTATGCCTCAAATTGTTTAATTTTGACTGGTTCTTCAATTTTAATCTTACAAGACTAAAGTGTCTCCAAGTTGGAGAAGAGATAAGAGGTTTTATCTCTCATTGACTGACTCTTCTTTCTCTTGTAATTCTTATATATTGTACAGTTTTTGATCCATTAATAAATTGAAAGTATACGAAATTATATTTTCTGCACTGATAACCCCTCCCCTCCCCAAGAAATGTATAGCTCAATTGGGTGTTCTTAATTATTTCTTCAAATTTCCTTTCCCTAGGTAGGTAGGCTCAGGGTAATCAATCATATCAGTGGATTATTTTATCATTTTCAAAGACTTGACATTTCATAAATGTGTAAAAAAAGATATTTCATAAATGGAACTCAGAATGTAAGATCAGTTCCAAACTTTGAGTAGTTCAATTGATAACTGATAGTAGTAGAAAAATCCTTATCTTGATCAATTTATTGGGTCTTTCTCCATTTCAGAATTCAAATCATGAATAAAGTTTCATGCTACAGCTTTATCAGCCAGTGTAGAACTGAACTGATGCTATAACAGTAAGATCCCATGATCAACACCCTCTTCACCCCATGCACCCACCAAAAGAAACAAAGAAAAAAGAAATAGAAAATTAAAAGAAAACAAGGTACATGCCATATTACTGGCATGGGGATTGTTGAGTGGTAAGTTTTCAGTCAAGGATGGATGGATGAGTTGTATTTGGCAATCTCCTTCCACGGATAAATGAACTGAATAGATGCAAGGCTCTTGATGGCTGTGCATAAGGTACCATATGAGCAGCACCTCTAACAGTGGCAAAAGTCAATAAATTCCCATATTCAGTCGCCCAACCTCCAACCTATTCATGAATGTAGAACAGGTGAGCTAAAAGAGACTTACCAACATGTAGAATATATTGGATACAAGAAAATATTTAAAATATGATGTAATTACATTAATACCTGTCCTTTGTGAAACCAGGCTCCATAGGGGACTGTGACCTTAAAGTTCAGGTCTCTTGCAAGTTCACGGACAAGCGTACGGGAACCCAGAAGTGGAACAACAGAATCTTGATCCCCACTATATTTTGAAGATATATCAGTTCAGATGCCATTCATAATATATATATATATATATATATATATATATATATATATGTATATATATACATATTTTCCAGTTCAAAAGAATGACTTACCTGAAAACCCAGACAGGTATATGGTGCTTGATTATCCTTTTAAGTATTGGGAGGATGTTGATGTTACCATCAGTTCCGCTGTAATTTAGTAAACTGTGCCAGTTGATAAAATACATAAATCAGTCAGTTTTCATTAATGTTTGTTTATATACATGTATGTGTATGATTAAATGAACAATAAGCCTAAGCTTTGCAGCAAGGATAACTACATTTATCATTATTTGCCACCAAAGGGTTGTAAAATTTATGTATAGAGACCAAGGAGGGTTTAACTCTACAGCAGGCAGAACTGACTCAGAATAACTAGAACATATGAGTTGTATTTGCATAACTGCATGGAAGGATTAAATTCGGAGACCATGAGAGGTTACAGAAGTATATCAAGGTAATGAATAAATAAATTTTCCACTGTAAAAGAATAAAAAGGAAAGACAATGAGGGTATATTAAACAGAGAAACATTGTCAAACCACTTCTCACTTCAATTAGAGGATGAATCCCAAGGAATATATAAAGGTTGTAAGAACACTTTGAACAGAATGCTAAGCCCATGCACATTCAGGAAGGCTGGACCTACCACTTGAGGGCTCCCATTTGAGGAGATCCAATAAGAATATTGACTACACTGAATGACCCTGATCATCTGAACCATGGGAAATTTCCCGAATTATTTGCCATATGATTTCTGACTAAGGTGACGGACTGGATTATTAAGGTTATACAGTTTAACTGAAATTTTAGCTTGGATATATCCTATATAGAACCATTGGAATTTAGGAGGCACTGTCTTACATATGTGAAGTCTACCACTGACTTCAGTTGATTATTTAATGTTGTTAAAACATTAAGAGAAGCATGACAATAAATCCAGTATCTCCTCACTCAAAACAAAGATTCTTTGACATACTGGACTTGTAATTATCAATTTAGGTCCTTTAACACAACGAATGGACTTGTAATTATCAAGTACTGCCTTTATTAACAAACTTTAAGTCCAGACTCCGAACTCCTTTAATCCATGCATTAAAAGAAAAAACAAACCTAGATGACCAGATAAGGAATCCATAATTGTTTATCAAAAATAGTAATATATCTTGCTTTAAATAGTAATTTCAGAACTGCATAAAATTTTTTGGCAGAATAAGTAATTTCAGAATCTGAAGGCAAAATTAATTCTAAATAATGTGTCTTTGAAAAACATAAAATGAAGGGCATTAAATAATTCTCCCTTCCCTAATATGTTACTCAGTTTCCAAACTTAGGATTTCAATGGGCTTTTGTTAAATTCAAATTTCCATAGGTAATTAGTTAAGATTAGTTTATTTGATGAGTTTTTTTTTTCTCTGACAAAGAATATATGACAGTAAAGGTACCTGGGGGTGGGGGAGAAAACTGAGAAAGCATCCAAAAACAAGATATTCTTTCTTTTTCTTTCAGATGATTAATAAGGAAATAAATAAGTTAACCTGAAGACACAAGGTCATAACAGAAAATGACTAAAGGATGTTTGGTTAGAGTACTGACTCACTGCACATTGTCCAGCTATATGGTAATTTGGTCCTGTTTGCATGAAGTGCCTGTTGAACACTTGGAAGGTTGAAGTAGAAACGCCTCTCATAGGACATGCAAACATCAACTCCAATGCTAATCTTCGTAGCCTAAGTGTGAAGATTCCACAATAAGGGTGATTTAACAACAAAAGTAAAACAATGGGAGAAAAAGCTCAAGAGGGAATAGAAGAACAACCAATTTTCGCAGTCGCAGCTCTTGCTCCACTATAGATGGATAGCAAACATCAAGGATCACATCATATGGATTTATATAATCACCAACCACCTGATTTGCCTCAGCAATGGCTTTGTTGCATGAGTGGCTCACATTGTGGGGGCTGCTGAAAACATAATCATCAAAATCACATTCATTTGTGATGGTAAGGCCAATTTCATCAGATATCATCCCATGTGACCAAAAGAACTCGTAGGTTGCAGGGATGTCCCTGTCAAGCTTGAGAAGTGGATTCCCAATCTATTTCAAAGAAAAAAGAGACTGAGATTAAAAATACCCCTGAACATTCATCATGGACACCAAATAGATAGTACATTCACATACAAATATACAAAAACAGTAGTTTTAAAATTTAGAAAGTTGCCTTACAGCTACTCCTTTGATGTTAAACTTGAAACCTCTTGAATGCTTATTGTGGTCCAGTAGAACATTAGCCAACTGTGGTATGTAATGCCCTATAAATGCAGACATCCTTGTTAGCAACATGCTCAACTGGAAGTGGTAAAAAATTATTCTATGGTCCAAGATGTTATCACTGCAAGACAGCCGGCCATATTTTTCACAGTTTTGTCATTTGCCATAATTGACAGGATTTTTCTAAGTACCGATATCTTTTTGATGATTTTATAGGTATTAGTATTCACTACTTGAGGAATAAACCATTTGAAACTCATTATGTTTAATATATATGGTATCCTATTATTTTCCTTCACTTGTAAAATTGGAAAACAAATAATACAGAAGACAAAATGGATATAAGTGCTGAAAGTCTTGAAAAATTTCCAGAACCATTAGTGTTTATGTATATATCTCGCACCTGCGTAGCTTTCTCCAGTTAGAAACAAATCTCTGGACTTGTACTCTGGATATTTCTCAAACCATTTAAGAAAGAAAATGTGCATATCTCTGGCTGACAAGAACAGTAATTGAAATCAAGTTAGAACAAATCAGGAAAATTCTATTAAAAAGGAAAAGAAAGCCACAATATGTATTTGAAAGATATTTGATTTGCAAAAAAAGTTTCAATACAGTTTGTTATTCTCCATATTTACCACATATTCAAGTAAAAGAAACAGAAAATATATTTAGTTATGACTTATGAGTTGCTTTTTATTACCAGTGGATGCATCCCCACAAGTATAATCAGAAGTCGTGTTTGAGTAAGACCATCCCACACCAGCAGGAGATTCAACAAAAAGGAGATTTGATGCTAGAAGAAAGATACGGACATTAACAAGGGCAACATAACTATAAGAAAATGATTAACTTAGATAAGGTTAATGAGTTCAAAGAGATAGAATGAAACCTTTATTCCAAGATTTTGTGTTTCTCTGAAGACCCCGACCATCACCTCTGGGAAAAAATGGACCCAACTCTGTGAAGGAACCCCCACCAACTGAGGAACAACCCGGACCTGAATAAAGACATTTTTCAGTAACATTCTGTATGCATTGGACCTATTAAGTTACTCTAGAACTATACCTCCTACGTACTACTTAAATTACACAGAATTGTACAAACAAGCTCTGATGCACTTCTTTTCGCCAGGGCTGGATGTTTTAAACATGTTACAGAGGAAACACCTTTGAATAGGGTATTCCTCATCTGAAAATTCTTAATGCAAGAAGGCCTCTGGGGACTATTTGTCCTTGACTTCTTAATCAACATCTTGAGGCAAGAATTCAGTTAGTTCTAAGCATCCCGAGGTAATCATTCATAGTATTTGGGTTATTTGTTATTCAGAGTTCTAATTGTTGCAGAAGTTGATCATCTAAAACTCTGATCAACATCAGCTGTGAGAGGCAGTATGGGAAGAAAATGGCCTATATTAGTCGTTTTAATTATTAAAAAAATACTTACTTTCTATGAGACCAAAACAGAGCGTTATTTATATGTAGCATTTTTAAGCATTCCAAATCATAATCAAATGGTCTCATTAATACTGTTAGGTTACAGAACCATCCAGAAATGGCAAGTTTAATTGTTCAATTGGGAACCAAAAAGCAAGTTTGTTGGAACAATAATAGCAAAAGAAATAAATAAGGAAGCCAGAACAAATCAAGCAAAAGGAATGAAAGTACAGTACCACTTGAGGAAGAAAACAATATGGAACCAAGAAAATATTTAGACAGAAGACACATTAACAAGAAAAAAAAAAAAAAACTATTTCATTCTAAAAGCCCATCGTGAGAACAAAAAGAATCGAGAGACTGGACTGCTGTTCAAAATTCAAGATCCTAACTTGATATTCATGCTGAATGCCGCCAATCATATACAATTGAAAAGGCAAACCTTGAAGCACAGAAATGAAAATCACACAGGAACCACAATAAATAATAACAGAGAAGATAAATTTCAACTTTAAAAACAAACAGAAGATGACCCATCAAATAACAAGCCAAAATAAGCAGAAAAACCAACCTCCATTCAACCAAAGAGTAAGGGGCTTCTTCTCTGGTTCCCCCTCTGCTTCAACAAAATAGTAAAACAAGCTCCTTCCAGCCTTCTCGTCCACATCAACATACCCAGCAAACTGCCTGAAATCAACCTTCGGTTGACCTGGCAATTTCAATACCAAATCCTCAACTGGGTACCCATCAACACTGCAAATGAAAATCGCCAATTCCAAGAGAAGTAACCCAGAAAGCCACAATTTACTCATCTCACAAATTGAAAAATAAAAAATAAAAAAGAAAATGAAAAACAGAATCCCAATCCGTTCTTTGGTTCCGGTCGAGAATCATACGAATCATGATGTACATATTATATAAAGGAAGAGTGTTGAAAGTGATGGGAATAAAATTTATATAGTATATATCTTCACAAGACAATTCTCTATTTTGGTGGTCACGTGAATCCCGGCTATCTTTCTAACTAAAGACTAAAGAGAGTGTCCAGTTCAGACATCAGAGTAGATTATTTTCCCATTTAAAGAGTGTCTTCAGGGTTTGAATCTTTGAGAGACAGAACGAGATGAGTAGGTAACTTCGAATGGAAAGCGAGCCGTTAGGACTTGTGCCAGAGTCATAATGTTTTAATGCCATTTGACATCTATTAGCTGAACGCGCTGTTTAATCAATAATGAGATTCCACGACAGTAATAAATTTATGGGCCCACTGTATGTTCAGCTAAACCTTGATAAGTTGATACAGAACTTAGAAGAGAGCACTCATCATAGTTCTTAAGTACAGATTACAGACTACGGACTGCACAGCCAAATTTGTTATTCATTGTAAAATTACTACTAGACTTGCTTTAATCGCTTTAATTTTTTTTTTTGTCGTTGGACTAATAAAAACAAGAATTTTGTATTCTTTTATCATCTGGGTTTGGATTATTGGATGCAAGTGCTATAGTTTTGGCTTTAGTGTGATCCATCAAAAAAAAAGTTTTGGCTTTAGTAGTATAGGTCTCTATCATAGCCCACTATAAGCAATAGAAGATAGGCTTTCTATCAAAAAAAGAATTCAAAAGGGCAATTACCAAAACAAAGATGTCCTTTTAATTTATACATCTTTAGATAGTAGTAATTATACTAATTGACAAATAACAGCGAAAAGATATCAATTGGGGTGGAATCCATATGTGGGTCCCAATCAAAAAAAAAAAAAAGATATCAATTGGGTTGTACCCTTGATTTCAAGGTTCTGATGGGATTGCTGATAAGTCAGATATCACTTAACCGTTTCAAATTAAAAAAAAAAAAAAAGAGGGCCCTGGCTTGTACTTACTCTAGAATTTACCCATTTCTTCATAAGAGGATCCTTTCATTATAGTTCTTATTATTTTTCTTCTTTTTACCAAATCTGAATAGTTTATGATGTTCTAAATTTCCCTTCTCTCTTTTAAGCCAAAAATAAAAAGCAAAGTTCATCCGAAGTGTTCAGATCACAAATACAGGAGATAAAATCAGAAATAAAAGTTAAAAATACAACACCAATATTGATTTCAAAAAAGGAGAATAGCTCATAAAAAAAGGAAAATTTTGAAAATTGAATGGAATTGAGGAAACCGAACTGACAGATATAATTAATCGAACTGATGGGTTTGGTGTTTTTTAAAAACGGGTGGTACCAGTTCAGTTTTATTTAATATTTATATATTATATTTATAATTATCTTATTATATTCTATTTATAGTATTTTTATTATAATATTTATATAATATATATTATAAATATAAAAAGAAAAAAACTGAATAACCGAATTGGTTAAAAACCAAATCGATCAACCCATTAATTGATTGGTTTTGGTTCAATTTCGATTTGGGGTTTTTTAAAAAATTGGTGACATTTGACACCAAAAAAGGAGGACCATAAATCCAACAAAGATCAATTTCAGCAAGTGTGGCTCTCAACAGAATAACTCAAATCTCTATTGTAAATCCTCCAATGCATGGGGTTCTGGAGAAAATAAAATCACCATGGCAGCACTCACTTGCACTGGCGTTAATGCATGAGAGTGCAAGTGGGCTGAGTGCCAAAAAAAAAAAAAAGCAAAACGATGTGGTTCCCATATTTTATGTCAGAGAAGTAAGGTAGAAGGGATGTGGTGCAAATTTTGCATCAGTTTTGGGATGCAGAATTTGCATTTCCAATGAATACAAATGAAACAAAAAAAAAAAGCAAACATTGTATTAGGTAAAAGTGCAAATGGATTCAAATCTAAACCAAGTGTAACTTTGCATCCAGTTTTGATTTGAACTGCAAACAAACAGAGCCTCAGGAAGTCAAGGATTATTTACACTTGGTCTCTGGACCCTAAGATACTTACAATTGGATCCAGAGATTTGTTTATAGAAATGCGGGCATTGTCGTATGTATCGTTCTCGATGTGCCAAACAGAACTCTGGAGATGATCTCCAGGAGTCCAGGCTAAAAGCATCTTTGGAATGACCAAATACTTATCCTGTTCACCATTCAGGATCTATCATCCAAATGAAGCCTTTTGTTTTGTTGAAAAATAATATACGCTTTTAGTCATCGAGCCCCAAGTCCAAGACTGAGACAAGAAGACTTCAACCCCAGTCCAAGCCTGGCCTAGAGCCATCCTCCCTCAGTAATGGAGTAATGGGTCAATCAATGTAAACTCTACCCTAAAATAGCCAAACCAAAAGCTCATCTGATTAGCTCCATTAGCTTTATTAAATGATTCCAAGGTTTTATTTTGGGTAGCTAAAACCATCAGTCATCATCTCGTAATCATCGTTTATATTATCTTAGTCAAGTAGACTTATAAACAAATGAGTTGCCATTTTCTGCACCACCTTTCTTTCTTGCAATATTTGATTGATCTTGATTATCCTTTGACTAATTTTTTTCTTTGATATTTGTGCTCTCATAAAGTAATGTTTTCTTAATTAAGCTAATTTAATTGGGACCCTAAACAAAGGAAAAAAATGAACTAAAATGGGCCAATTACTTCTTTTGAGCTGCCGTTGATATAGTCAATTAGGCTAGAGCAGTGTGTCACAACCTAACAGTTTCAACTTTCAAGGACAAATATCAAAATGGAAGTCGGCAGACAAGAGCTAACAAATATGTTTTAAGAATCATTGATCATTTGAATCATGTCAAGTGAAAATTGACAAACACAATAATTCTAAATTTCTAATTATCAGAAAACTATGCTAATAGCATGTTTTGAATAGGAAATGGCAATCCGGTTTTTGCTTTTGCTTTTCCAGTGTTGGGTTTGATTAAAATCTTATCCTGCATTAATTACTTTTGGGTGGAGTCAGATTGGGTTTCTTCCAACCTGGATTGATTCGTCCAGCCACAGCTTAAACCAACAATAACATATATTTCTGGGTTGCGGTTTCTGGTTTTAGATATTGCCAACTCTTTGCAAAATTTCATGTTATTGTTCTGGATAAGATAAAGAAAACAAGACAGCCAAACTTTTAGCCACATTTCATTTGATGAATTTTACAGTTTTAATCAGCTTGCATGCAAAAAATTTGATCTTATTTCTCCATCAGGTTTCTTATTCCCTTCTTGAAAAATGTAATATTTCTTCTGGTTTATAGTGAAATCACAGGTTTAATTGGTAAAAAATGAAAAAAAAAGAGATACAAATTTAATGAGAAAATGCTTCCCTTTTCCTGTTTTTTCCTATCTAACTGTCAAGTTGGGTCACCTATATGATATCATAAGTTTGGTAGCCTCCTGTTAAGCTTTAGAATTTTGAAAATCAGAAAGCATGTCTTCTCAACCTATCCTCAAGACCAAAGGAGAGCAAAGAAGGAGAAGAACCTTTTACATATTTTGGGTAAGGCATTGATTTCTGCAATTCTGCCTCAACCTGGACCAGAACCTTAGCTACCCTACTTTGTAGGAATTATGCCTTCTGAGTTCTGATCACATGACAATATACCAATTGAGAAAGCTATTAGGATTAAACAAAAGCACCCTTCTCGGTTTAGAGATAGTAGTCAGCACAAAGCCACAAAGCCTCAAGTTTAGGGGACTCCAGCATAGTGCGGTGCATGTTAAAGCGAATAGGTCAATAAGGGAGGGCTTAAAATCCTCCAAGGCATTGAACACTACTGTAGTGGCCATTGTTGTGCTCCACAAAACAAATATGAACACTGATAACACCCACACGGTCCCCCACCATTTATCTCATATCTCTTGGTATGCCCTAATTGGAGGAATCTCCTCCCTCGAGTATCTTCTTTCTTATCTTGTCTTCTCTTTTCTTTATTTCTTTATTTATTTCTTCTTATTTTTTGGCTTTTTCTTTAGTTGAAAATGAAAACATGTCAAAAAGAGGGGTCAAAAAGATATGCACAAGCAAAAGTACGATGTGACAATAAGTTTTGATTTTTTAAGAGTCGCCTAGACTCACTTTACTCCTGGATAAGGTTAAAAAACAGGTGAAACTCTTCAGAAAAGGTTTTATTCAGTTTAAATTTATTTGGACCGGGGAACAAATGACACGGTCCTTTTGGTAGATTTCCTACCCTGCTTCCAATAAAATATTAAAAGGTTGAGGAGCCACATTTTTAAAATAAGGACAAGGTACCCATCTTTGTTAGGCTGCACTTATTGTTCTACTTTTTGTTTTATGATTATACACCTAAACTGCATGGGACTAAATTTCAAATTATGCTTGTCGAATTAATGTTGCATAAAAATGCTCAGGCTGCCAGTCTTTCCTAAATCTCTTTACCTGTTAAAATGTGCAGAAAAGAGAATAAAAAAGTATTCGTTATTGGTACATTGTTTGATATGGAGAATCAACCATCCGAGCCTTTCCTCTGTTAAGGAGTGTAGGAAAAAAACAATCAGGGCTAGGAGTGAAACCCATGGATAATAACCTAGATGTGTAAAAATATAGATCGCTTGGATGTGGGATAAAATTCTGCTTGATCTTCAATTGTAACACTTACAGAAGCAGGCCAACCTCCAATGTCCACAAATTCAACAGGTTCCAGATAAGATGTATTTCTATGGGTCATAGTTATCCAGAAAAGTATTAATAAAATAATATGGCAAATCCAGAAGTACTTAGATTAAATTATTATGATCACGCAATTGCATTAATTTTGATCACGGAGATCTCCCACTTATCTCCAATGGTGGGTCTTCACCGTCCCTTTCTGTAAAGCATTACATGGGTATGGGCCTTATGGCTGATAATCGCCAAAGACAGGAATATCCTCTGGTGGATATTGCTTACTTGAATCAATTTATGAACCTAAAAGAGTGTTACAATCTGATTGCTTTTCTGAAGATAATGAAGTAGAAATTTACAATCATCCATTGAATCTGCAGGCCAGAAGATTATTGAATTTTCATATTTGTAAAAACCCTAGTAGTTTAAGATGGCTCCAAACTCATCCCTGTCAATTCCACTAATACATTCTGAAAGCAAATATAGAAAATCAGATTACTGACTAATATTTATTGTTTAATACTGTATAATGGGCAGATCTATCAGCATCAGACCCATTATATAAAACAAGAAAATATATTTTTTTAATTCAAATATTAACTAAGCAGAAATCTATTTTTCTGTACAGTGAAGAACCAATTTCTTTCAAGGGGATCTTTTGAATATTAGCTACATTTTAACTCGTCACTCAGAAGAAGGGAATACTGGGAAGACCAGTTTTGATCTATTACCCTCTACATATTTATCTCTATTCTTACACGAATACAGAAATATATATCTGACAAAGTAAAAGCGCCAACTCAAAAATCAGAATACAGTCGAACTAAACGTAAGGAATCAAAGGGTGTCTCTAATCGCCACTCTCTCTGCTTTTTGCTTAGTGGCCTTCCTTTCCCTGCTTTTTCTCTATTTATCCTCACATCTGCTAGGCCCCATGTGCAACAACTTATCTCCAAATCAAAAGAAACAAGTCTGAAAATGCCATCTCTCTCAGTGAATGACCCCTTTGGATCTGCCTCACCAACATATTTTACATACATTGGCCTATCCTTGAACCTGGCCAGATCTTGTGGAATGCGCATGATCCTTTCAACACCAGGAGAAGACACCTAAAATAATTGCAACTCAGACTATGTATGATAAAGTAATGAATGCAAACAATTTGAAAAACTAACATTTTGAAGATGAGAACCAGATATTCCAATTCGTTAATATTATGTGGACAAGCTTGAGCTTCACTCTGCAATTATTCCTCCATCTCTTTTTTGCTAAATGGTAAAGATTGTCCTACAAAGAACCAGAAGAGAAAAAGACGGCAGGCTTTACCAAAAAAAGGTACATGGTTGATGAGTTAGAACCATGATCCTTGGGGGGACAAGCATGAAAACACGAGTTCAATCTGAGAGCAGCCACTGGGTGCAAGAAAATGCTTATAGGAGTAAAATGGCCCAGGCCGCCCATGAGCCAGCACAGCCCACATTAATAATACATAAATATATCTTATGTATATAATAATATATATAATTAATAATATGTACATAACTACATGTATTATTAATACACACATTAATTTTGATCCTTTAAAAAAATTTCATTCCGTCCTGGGCCCCCTCCCTGATCTGCCGCACCATGCTGGCACAGCCCACTATAGTAGCTGTGCTGTGTCAGCATGACCCACTCCAGTGCAGGTGGCACAACAAAACTGTGTTGTCCCAGCCTGATGACCCACATTACACCTATAAAAATGCTGAAAGTTTGGTGAGCTTCAATAGCTGGGATGGCATTGAGTAAGGCCTAACCATGATCCTCATAATTAAGTATTGATCCTGTCAAAAGAAGAATCAAACAGAATATTGTCCCACTGGATCCTGAAATTACCATGGGAGAAGCCTTCTTATCTTTAATGGGATAAATTTAGTATGTCTTCCCTTCAAAAATGCAGGCATTCCTCCCCTTCCACATACTCCAGCAAAGTGCAAATAGCAACCATAGTCAGCGTCTTTTTCTCTTCTGCTATTCTCATCCAATCACCCCTTCATCTCATCCTTTTATTTCTCTGTTTCATTTTTTCCCTTATTTTCTGTTTGCACTGTCCCAGAGGGTTCAGAAGTCAGAACAACCAAGCTGGTTTAACAGTTTAAACATCTGATCAGCTCAACTGGTTTTCAGACATTGTTTGGGTTTTATTTTATTTTGGGTCCATATGGGAGAGCTGAAGCTTTAGTTGAGCTGCTTTTGAAAAAGCCACTAAAAGAACCTTCAACAGGTTGTTTTTTTCCCAGTTGAAGGATGGAAAATTCAGGCTTTCTGGGCTTTTCTGAATCCATCACAGGAAAGCCCTGGATGGGACCCTCCCAAACGGGACCAGGCATTGACCCCTGAATCCATATGGTGTAGCCCCAACCCCATATTGACATACTGCATTCCTAATTATTTGCTAAGGGTTGATGTACAAGGGATTTGAGTCCCCTCAAATTTGCATAGAAATTAGATGCAGCACATAAAAAGAATGGAATAAAAATAAAAGAAAGCTACCTCTAGAGATAAATTCTCGGGTACAGATCCAGCAATCTCAGCTTTGTCCAACCTTGCTCGGTAAACAGATGAGAACTCTTCAATATCTGTCATACTGGGAGAACCATACCTATAAAATATCTTGTTGGTTAGATGTAATCATGGACACTATTTTACACCACAAGCATACAAAATCAAGAATCTAATTTGAAAAGTAAGACAACATAATGAACCAAAAATATAATAATCAAAGAAAATAAAACAATTATCCATCAAGTTCATCAAAATCTTAACTGCTAATTTCCAAGGCAGGAGCACTGGTCAAGTAAGGAAACTTTTTTTTTGAAGAATAAAGAAAAAGACTTTCATTAAAATAAAAAAGAAGATATTACAGACCGGTTGGTTGTCAAAAGGACACACCAATGCATCAATTGCAACTGATCAAACTGAAAATGGATCTACATTACACAGGTGCAATTCAAGAATACTCGAAAAGTTTTCTAACAAATTAGACTGTTAACTCGGTTGAATTCTGGCAGGGCTAACACCCAATCTATATTACCCATCCTCCATCTTCTTCTTCCCAAATTTGTATGTCATTTTCGAATCAAAGTTCTCCATTTTTTTTTGAAGGAAGTTAACAGATTTCATTAAAGGAAAAAGGGGGTACACAAGAAGGTGTACAAGTACAAAACAGGGGTCAGGCCCCTAAATATTACACAGGAGGAAATTTGTCATAATACAATGTCTCCAGAATAGCACCTAGTTTTGCTAATCCATCTGCAATGGCGTTTAAATCCCTTGGAATCCAGTACAGAGATGCATTCTTAGAAGCCAATAGGTCCCTTGCCTCTGCTAGGAAGTGACTAAGTCTCCATGGTCCAGCCTCCTGTTTTCCTAACCATTTTATGGTGTTTGCTGAGTCGCCTTCAATGGACAAGTTCTGAATGCCCAGTCTGCTGACTAGGCAAATCCCTGTGAGAGCTGCTAACACTTCTGCCTTTGTAGAGTCAGCTATACCAATCGGTCCACTGTACACCCAGCAGATGAACCCATTTTCRTCTCTTAAAGTYCCYCCTATGCCWGCAACTCCAGGGCTACCYRATGCACTAYYGTCAAAGCTTAGAGTCCAAGTTCCTTCCCTTCTTATTGATGGAACCTTGGGGGTATGTGGGATAGAAGGGGAGGAGAACAGAAAGTTGACAACATTCCTGTTAAGGTCATTAACATTGATTCCTGTGAACACTTCTGAGCTAGAAGCCCACAAATTGCAGTGATAATTGATATGACGGATCAGCTAACTCTTAGATTTTACCTTGTTTTCAAACAAACAATTGTTCCTTTCTTCTCAAATTCCCCATAACACAGCATGTAACACTATTTGCCAGTATACCTTACCTCTCTTGCTCAGACCTTTTCCTTGCCACTGGGAACAAACTTACACCAGATCTTCTTGAAAGGGAAGACACAGTCCCAGTCTCCTGCAACCAGAGCCTCGAGGAAAGACTTGGAAAAGAACTCACCAACAGGGTGGGGTTTCCAGACACAGGAGTCTTGGGAGTTTGAGGAAATGTAGGCTTCTCTGAGAGAGAGGAAGAGATCAGTTAGCTCACTAATCTCCGAGTCCCTTGAGGGTCTTCTAAGGCTCAAATTTATGTTGTTTTCATCGGGAAAAGTGGGGAGACACTGAGAGATGGTTGCTTCTTTGTTTAGGGTGAGGTTGAAAATTCTAGGATAAGATTCCACTAGAGTGGAATTGCCCCACCACAGATCTGTCCAAAACTTTATTCTGGTACCATTACCCACTCTAAATCTTATGAAAGAAAAAAAGATGTTGTGAATAGAAGTGATACCTTTCCAAGGATTTGAGGAAGCTAATCAGTTTGAGCAGAGGTTGCAGTCCCAACATTTTGCATTTAACCCATACTTGCTGGTGATGACAGCTACCCAAAGGGAATTCGTTTCAATGGGAATGTCCACAACCATTTCCCGAGTAGAGCATCGTTCTTCTCTTTTAGGTGTCCAATCCCCAACCCTCCAGCCTCTTTAGGCTTGCAGACTTGACTCCACTTACTAGATGTCTTATTTTTTTCACCTCCACCTTCCCAAAGAAAATCTCTTTGAAGTTTCTCAATCTATGACCTGATTTTGGCAGGGATCTGAAACACTGAGAGTGTTATGGACGCCTTCCTCGGGAAGATGTACCATCGCCGCCGGCAGCAACAGGCTCCGGGCCCACCGCCAGCAGCAGCAAGGATTCAGTGATGCTCATCCTACCCAGTTCGGCAACAGCAGCCTTATCTAGATTAGATTAGCTCATTTTGCTTGTTCTTATCTCTTATCTTATCTTG